TAGATGAATTCAGAGTTCTGCTGCCACTTTGCCCTTATCCACAGTGGTTTGCTCAAGTGGAAGCACAGCCTAAATGGCTGATACCCTTTGCATTACCTCTTACTAAACTCTATGGCTTTGCAAACCTCTGAATTGTGAACTGGGCTTTGCTATCACACAGCTGGCAACCTTGAGAGAAAATGAAACTGCCTCCATGTCCCTTCCTCTGTCTGCCCTTCATTTTTCAAATCCCATGCTTTCTCTGCTAACACTTGCAGTCCCCTCGCCCACCCAAGAACTGCCATTGTAAGCCTTTGTGGGCTCAGCCAGCCAGTAGTTCTGTACTATAAACCAGTGGAAAGTGCCTGGGTGATAAATATGCACATCGTAAAAAGAAAAAAGAACCTGCTACTGTCATTTAAAGTGGCTGTTTGGATAACTAAGCAAATATTGGTTCAGTCTTCAGAAGAAAAGTGTTGAAACTTTTAATGACCCCGAGACAAGGTAGAAGAAGAAACAGAAGGAGGGAAAAGAAATACAAATGCCAGGGATCAGTCATAGGAACAAATCAGCTTAATGAAAGGTACCACAACTGAATTGCACAGCCAATAATAAGAAATTGTAACTTGGGACACTTTCCATGCCCCCCCGCCATTTTTTTCTCTCATCCCCACAGGACATTTGTGAACTAGATTGCCTCCTTTCTTATTTCTGGTCAGCCATTTTTTTTAATCACCAGGTTGAGCATCACTTACTCAATATGGTTGGTGCCGATAGTGTTTTGGATACTGGATTTTGTAATATTGAATATACATCATGAGAGATCATGAAGATGGGACTCAAGTCTAACCAGGACCGTAGCCAGAAAAAATATTCAGGGAGGGTTGACAATTTCGGCGGGGGGGGGGGGGGGGGTTGAAAATTTGGGGGGGGGGTTGAAAATTTCGGGGAGGGTTGAAAATTTGGGGGGGGGGGTTGAAACCTGCCTCCTAGCTCACACTGAAGCAAAGAGCACAGCAGGGGGCAGAGCAACCTTCCATAGCCTGCAGCTCCACCCCTGTCAACCACCTCCACCAAGTCTGGCCTCCTTAATGAGAGCATTCAACACACACACCCCACTTGGTTGCTTCACTACATCGGCTATTGCTGCAAGTAATGACAGTGTGAATAAATTGTCAATATTTGCTTGAGATAGTGCTTACAGTTCTGGAGGGACTCTTAATTTTTTGCATCTCATAGACTTAGCATGGGGATTTGGTTAACCAGTTAAAATTCATGAGTAAACCAGGTTTTTTAAAAAAATCTGAAACATTTTGGGGGGGGTTGAACCCCTAAAACCACCCCCTCGCTACAGGCCTGAGTCTAACCATAATATTTGTGTATCATATAGACCTTATACACACAGCCTGAGGTTTAAACAATCTTTTTAATCATTTTGCGTGTGAAACCAAATTAGTATTCTTTGAACCATCGGAAAGCAAAGTTATTATTATCTCAGCCACTGATGTGGACAATATGTGATTTGGGAGCACTTTGTATTTTCACATTGGGGCTACTGAAACCCTTTTTTGTGTCAGGAGCAAATTGAGAAACTGCAAGTCGCTTCTAGTGTAAGAGAATTTGCCACCTGCAAGGACGTTGCCCAGGGGACACCCAGATGTGTTACCATCCTGTAGGAGGCTTCTCTCATGTCCCCGCATGGAAAGCTGAAGCTGACAGATGGAAGCTCACCCCGCTCTATTGATTCGAACCAGCCAACCTTTCAGTCCAGCAGTACTGCTGGCACAAGGGTTTAACCAATTGCACCACCGGGTGCTCCTACTAAAACCCTGAGGTGCTTTTGAAAGATGGAGGATGAAAAGTCAGCCCTGAGGACAAGAGGGATCTCTGCTCCAATCTGCCCTGGGAATGTGAGAAGGATGGATTGCACTCCCTCCACGTGGGTGGCTGGAATAGTGACAACATGCCTTTCCTATGGTGGTTCAATGCACACAAACTTTGCTTCATGCACAAAATGATTAAACTATTGTATCAAATGACCTCTGGGCTCTGCATGTAAGACGCAGATGAAACATAAATAAATTTTCGGTTGAGACTTGGGTCTCATCTCCAAGATAATGCATGTATATTTCAATACGGGGGGGGGGGGGGGGGGGGAGAATCCTAAACACGTTTGATGCCAAGCATTTTGGATAAGGGACTCTCAAGTCAACCTGTTACCGCTTTCCGAGAGTGGAGGGTAGGGAGGTCATGGTCTGCCGCCTCCCTCCCTCCTGCCTTTTCCTCTCCCCTCCCCTGAAATCCTGGAGCTCTTCAGCCATTCCCCGCTCCAGCCAATGGAGGCAGGCGTTTCAAAGGAGGCTGTGAGGGAGAACAATGTCCTTTGGCTCTTCAAAGGAGGCTATGTATTTGTGTGTGAGAGTGAGACATTAAGAGAGCATGTGAGTGCATGACAGAGACAGAAAAAGATGGATAAAGTATGCGTGTAGGTGACAGACAAATAAATGGATTATTTGAGTAAGTGTGTGAGAGAGATACAAAACAAAAGAGAGTTTTGAGAGAGTATTAGTGTGAGAGAGACTGGGGAAGGGAGAAAGAATTCGAGATAGAGCAGGCATGGGCGAACTTCAGTCTTCCAGGTGTTTTGGAATTCAACTCCCACAATTCCTGGACTCAGGCCCTTTCCTTTTCTTCCTGAGGGGGAAAAGGAAGGGGCCTGAGGCCAGGAATTGTGGGAGTTGAATTCCAAAATACCTGGAAGGCTGAAGTTTGCCCATGTCTGAGATAGAGGATGTATGTGTGTGAGAGAAACAGAAAAAGAGAGAAAGAGTTTGAGCTAGTATGTGCGTACCTGTGAGAGACAGACATGAGAGAAAGAGACTGAGAAAGTATATTTGTCCTTGTATGGTATAGTACAATATAGTAATATACAACACTGATATTGTGCTATGCTAATAATATAATATATGGCATGTGTATATATCTTGTAAGCTGCTCTGAGTCCCCTTCTAGGTGAGAAGGGTGGCATATAAATGTGGTAAGTAAATAAATAAACACTGCAAAAGAGAGAGAGACTGGGACCAAGAAAGAGAGTTTGAGAGAGTGAGAGACAGCAAAAGATGGAGAGAGTGTGTTGTGTGTGAAAGACAGACAGCGATTAATAGAGTATGCCTGCCACCTGTCAGGGGTGCTTTGAAGGCAATCGCCCAGCTTCTTGGCAAGGGGTTGGACTGGATGGCCCACGAGGTCGCTTCCAACTCTATGTGTGTGAGAGACTGACAAGATGGAAATAAACGGAGCGAGGATGTGTCTCTGTGGGAGGGAGAATGAGCGTGATTCTGAGGCTAGGGCGGGGGCTTTCCTTGGGTCCGCTTCCTTTGAAGCGCCTGGGCACCTGTTGCAAAGGCGCCTCTTCCCGCCAGAGGAGCGAGGTCGGGAGAGAAGGGCTCATCTACACTGCCACTATATTGCAACACATTGCGGTCTACGCTGACCACAGATTGCCGTTTCAAAGGGCATTCCGTGGCGGGCTAGGTGGGGGCCTGCTTTCTTGTTTCCTTTGGGAAGAGCGAGCGGGCGCCTGGAGGTGTCGCCCGGTGCCTTCTCTTTGAGCCTCTTCCTTCCCCGCGCGACTTTCTCCTCAGGCGCCTGCTTTTTGCGCGGGAAAGAGGAAGGGAGGGAAAGGAGCGGGGCTTGGAAGGCGCCTCTTTCCCAGCCTTGCCCCAAGCCTTCCGATTCAGAGGCCGTGTTGCATGCTTCTGCACGCCCGGGAAGGACACCGTCTCCTGGGCACCAGCGTGGCACACGCGCGCGGCGCACAAAAGCCCTCGCGCCAGGCAGGGAGGGAGGGAGGGAAGGAAGGAAGGAAGGAGGGAGGCGGCGGTCCTGGGAGGCCGGCCCCGCCCTCCACAAAGCCTCGCTCGGGCCAGTGGGGGTCCCTTTCGCCTCCGGCTGACCGCCGTCCCTTTCCTCGGGAGTCCAGCCTCTCATACCGAACTGTTCATAGAACCACTGAGGGCCCTTCCACACAGCCCGATATCCCAGAATATCAAGGCAGGAAATCCCACATTATCTGAGTATGGACTCGATAACTCACTTCAAAGCAGATATTGTGGGATTTTCTGCCTTGATGTTCTTCCACACAGAGCCCTTCCACACAGCATTATATAAGAGAACCCCGTGGGCCATCCAGTCCAACCCCCTGCCAAGATGCAGGAAAATCGCCTTCAAAGCACCCCCGACAGATGGCCATCCAGCCTCTGCTGAAAAGCCTCCAAAGAAGGCTTTTTGATGCCTGTCTTGAAGTCCATCCCGACTCCGGTCGACTCCGAGGCAAAACCCACCCTGGTTCAGAAGAGTAAGGGTCTTCCCTTGCCTCCCTGTGAGGCTGAGAGAGTGTGGCTTGCCCAAATGGGGACCAAGCGGGGATTCGAGCCCTGTCCTTTCCAGCCGTAGCTCTCCTCTGGGCTAAAACTCGCTACAACCGGGGGACAAAAGCACACCCAGTCCGTGGCTTCCCCCTCCGCCCTCAGTCTCCAAAACCTTCTCCCTTCCCTCCCTCCTTCCTTCCCTATGGCTCTGGGCTCTCTCTCCCGGGCGATGTCTACACCGGACTCGTCGTGACACCCTTTGAACCGCTACTTCTCCACGCTATGAGGTGCTGGCAGCTGTAGCTTTGCAACCTTCCCTCCCTTGCCCTGCCCAAGAGTGTTGGGCCCTCCCCAAACTCCAATTCCCAGGTTCTCCTTGCACCGAGAGGTGGCGGTTCAAGCGCTGTCCAAGTGCATTCATTCTGGATCCCCAGCCTCCGTGCCCTCCTTCCAAGCGCCTTAGCGAAGACATCCCCGAAGACAACCCCGGGGAAACCGGAGAAGAAAGTTGAGGATTCCCTCCTCCTCCCTCTCGTCTTCCCCTGCTCCTGTTCGAGGAGTTTCCCCCTTTCCAAGATTTCCACCCGCGAAGACTGCCACCCTGACCTCCTGAAGAGAGCCCCCCCCTCTTCCCGGGACCCCCTTCCGTACCTTGAGCCGAGGCGGCGAGGATGCCCACCAGAGCCAGGAAGAGCGCCCAGCCCACGAGCTCCCAGGAGTTGCCCATTCCTTCCAGGCTGGGAGGAGAGGAAGAACTTCGCCGGAGAGGTGGATGGATGGATGGAGAGAAGACAGATAGATCCCCCTCCTGGGAGTCCTTCCCAGGATCCGAAGCAAGGAGGAGAGCGGGGTCCGCTTCAAGGAAGGCCCCGCTTTCAGGGGAAGCAGTCCAAGGAGGGGCGGGCAAGGGCGGCTGCTCCCCGAAGCAGCCGCTTCATCCTCCGGAGTGAGGGCTTCGCTCGGCGCCTCCGGAGCAGATCCGCGGGTGGGATGGAGGGGGGAGGCTTCGGGGCACCCGGGGCTTGTGCTGCGAGCTGCGGAGGCTCAACAGGGCGAGGAGAGGGAGCGCGGCGGTCGGGAGGAACCTCACCCGAGGCTCCGGAGGGGGGTGGAGGCGCGGGAGAAGCGGGGAAAAGGAGCACCACGAACCCCCCGCATCGCAGGCGGAGCGAAGTTGTTTCCTCGGGAAAAGTTTTGGGGAGGGCAAGACGGGGTCCGCTCCTGCCTGCCCGTTCCTCCTTCTTCTTCCTCCCTTTCTTCTTCCTCCCGCCTTTAACCCAGCCGGCGAGGCATCCTCAGAGCCGGCGGCAGCCTTCGTGGGCGGGTGCTTGCTCTTCCCCCAAATCCAAAAAGGCGGCGCGGGGAAGGCTCTCTTCGGCTGCGGAGAAGGCGCTCGTCTCTCCCTGCCTCTGTCTCGGCGGCACGGTCCGCGCGGCCTCCTCCTCCTCCTCCTCCTCCCCCTCCCTCCCGCTCCGTGCTTCGGCTGGCAGCGGAGTGAGTGAGCCCGAGACCGGAGCCCAGGAGGCGGAGAAAGAGAGGGGCCCGCAGCGCCACCTGGTGGCCCGCGCCGCAGGAAGCGCCTCGCGCGCCCTTGGCGGAAGGGAAGCAGGGAAGGAGGGAGGAAGGAGCAGCAGTAACAGCAGCAGCAGCTTTACTACAGAAGAGACAGGTCAGATGCCCATCTGTCGGGAGAGCTTGGGTTGCCCTTCCTGCAAAACAGAATGGGGCTGGCCTTGGCGTCTCTTCCCACTCTAACCATAGCGCTGGCTAGTAATACAGAGAAGTCACAAATAAGGTAGAGTCTCGCTTATCCAACATCAACGGGCTGGTAGAATATTGGCTCAGCGAAAATGTTGGGGATTAAGAAAAGGCCTATTAAACGTCAAATTACGTTATGATTTTACAAAATTAAGCACCAAAACATGTTTTAAAACAAATCTACAGAAAAAGCAGTTCAATACACAGTAACCATATGTAGTAATTACTTTATTTACCAATGTAGCTCCAAAACATCGTAATGCATTGAAACAGCTGTGGATCCGGGCAGGAGGCAGACTGTTGGATAATACAGAAGGTTGGATAAGCGAGACTATTGTGAAAAAAAGAGAGAAGCATATCCAATAGCACAGGCATGGGCAAACTTCGGCCCTCCAGGTGTTTTGGACTTTCAGCTCCCACAATTCCTAACCTGCTGGCACAGCGAGTTAAACCACTGAGCAGCTGAACTTGCTGGCCGAAAGGTTTGTGGTTCAAATCTGAGGAGCAGGGTGAGCTCTTGCTGTTAGCCTCAGCTTATGCCAATCTAGCAGTTCGAAAAAATGAAAATGTGTCAGCCCTTACTTATCATCTGGCTCTTGCACTTTTCTATCAGACTTGTCCTTGCAGTTGTATTGGACAAGCCCTTGCCTCGCCCCTTATTTCTGAAATGTCCACTATCCTCAGCTACTGGTTGTTGTATGATGATGTATGTTTTATGATGTTTTTAATATGTATTTTTATTGTGTTATATTTTAACTCTGTTTGTCTGGACTTGGGCCCCATGTAAGCCACCTGAAGTCTCTTCAGGGAGATGGTGATGGGATACAAAAATAAAGTTATTATTCTATAATAATAACTTTATTTTTGTATCCCACTACCATCTCCCTGAAGGGACTTCAGGTGGCTTACATGGGAACCAAGTCCGGTCAAACCAAGTCCAGGCAGGACTCTGGCAGGAAGGTAATGGCGCTCCATGCAGTCATGCCAGCCACATGACCTTGGAGGTATCTATGGACAATGCTGGCTCTTTGACGTAGAAATAGAGATGAACACCAACTTCCAGAGTCAGATTCGACTAGACTTAATGTCAGGGGGAAACTTTACCTTATCAAATTAAAAGAAAGGTCCTGAAAATAGATGAAGAGGGGACAGGATACTGGTTAGAAGGAGAAGGAGAAGGAGAAGACACAACACAAAAATGAAGAATGGAAGCTGAAATTTCCTCCCTTTTTCCTTTCCCCCTTTATTATTTTATTTTATTTTATTATTTTTCTTTCTCCCTTTTCCCCACACCATTCTATCCTATATCACTTTTCCCCCTCATTTAACTATTTATTTTATTCATTTATTCATTTATGAAAAAATCTCAATAAAATATATTAAAAAAATTAAAGGAAAGGAGCGGTGGATAGAGGAATGGTAGTACAATTATGGTAGCTTCACTAACAGTATTCAGCTAGAAAAAAATGGCCAAAAGTATGTGGAATCAGCTTTCAAAAGGAATATTTAAGCTAAAGGTTATTGAATATGGTGGTGCTTTGAAAAATAGTTTTGTGACTTTTTCAACTTACAGTGATGCTGTCACTGGGTTTTCTTGGCTGAGAGACTGACCCTTACATCTATATTTGGAAGGATGTCCATCTGTCGGGAGTGCTCTGTGTCTGGCAGGGGTTTGGACTGGATGACCCCTGTGGTCTCTTCCAATTCTAGGATTCTAGGGTGCCACTACATCAGAGCTTTCCAAACATTTCATATTGCTGCCTTTTTAGAGATGCATCATTAGACAACACAGACACAATGAAGACATCTGTCCTTGTGCTTTGCTACTCTGCTGCTGAGTAGTACGCATGCTCAGTGTGGAACACATCTCACCATGTTAAAACCATGGATATTGGTCATAATGAGACATGCCACATTATCACAGGATGTCTACGCCCCACACCGGTGGAGAAATTATACTGCTTAGCCGGTATTACACCATCTGACAACCATCAGGAAGTAGCAGTCAGCAATGAAAGAAATCGAACAAAGGGGAGAGGAGGCGGAGTATATGTCAAAAACTGTTATGCTGCAGAAGAGATGCAAGAGAGCAATCTGGGAAACCAGCTTGAAAGCATCTGGATAAGAATCAAGGGAACTGGGACTCAAAAAGAGGTCATTGTAGGCGTCCACTACAGACGTCCAAGCCAGGAGGAAGAACTTGACGAAGTCTTCTGCCAACAGTTGACAAAACAGGCACAGAAGAGGCAACAAGGGGGTTGGCTATTCTTGATCTCATCATAACAAATGCGGAGGACCTGATGGGATTTTGGACTGCATCAATAAGAGCATAGTGTCTAGGTCCAGGAAAGAAATACTACCCCTCTATTCTGCTTTGGTTAGACCACAGCTGGAATATTGTGTCCAATTCTGGGCATCACAATTCAAGAGAGATATTGACAAGGTGGAATGTGTCCAGAGGAGGGCGACTAAAATGATCAAGGGTCTGGAGAACAAGCCCTATGAGGAGCAGCTTAAGGAGCTGGGCATATTTAGCCTGAAGAAGAGAAGGCTGAGAGGAGATATGATAGCCATGTATAAATATGTGAGAGGAAGCCACAGGGAGAAGGGAGCAAGCTTGTTTTCTGCTTCCTTGGAGACTAGGACGCGGAACAGTGGCTTCAAACTACAAGAGAGGAGATTCCATCTGAACATGAGGAAGTACTTCCTGACTGTGAGAGCTGTTCAGCAGTGGAACTCTCTGTCCCGGAGTGTGGTGGAGCCTCCTTCTTTGGAAGCTTTTAAACAGAGGCTGGATGGCCATCTGTCGAGGGTGATTTGAATGCAATATTCCTGCTTCTTGGCAGGGGGTTGGACTGGATGGCCCATGAGGTCTCTTCCAACTCTTTGATTCTATGATTCTATGATTCTATGACCAAGACACTGACATTTCCAGACCACCTATTACAATGCACCCTGAGCCCTGCCACATGCACAATGGAGGACCTTCTTTTAGCAACACCTGAGGCACTCCTAAGTGGCCAGCTTCTGCTGCACCCCCAGTACTCTTCTGGCATGATAAATAAATAAATTAGACAACACAGTAATTCAGTGTCAATATGAAACATGAGGTTAAAACAACCCCTTAAAAATTACAGACACATACACAAATTGTAATAACAAAGCATACAGGGACACAATGTATCTCATAAAAATTTTCATTTATATATTTAGAAGTATATGATTTGTAAGATGATTTCCAACTTTTTTGTCATTTGTAAATGCCACCAGCATGGAAGCAATGATTCTCCTCCATCATCTCTGCTGGACTGGCCATGTTGTCTGAATGCCTTATCACTGTCTCCCAGAGCAGTTACTTTACTCTCAGCTCAAGAACAGAAAATGGAATATCGGTGGAGAGCAAAAGAGATTTAAAGTGGGCTTAAAGGTAACCTTAAAAACTGTGGCATAAACACAGAGTACTGGGAATCCCTGGCACTTGAGTGCTGTAAGTGGAAGCCAGCTGTTGTTGGTGCTATGGATTTTGAAGAGCCATGGATAGTCCTGCATGGCAGGGGGTTGGACGAGATGGCCAGTGTGGTCTCTTCCAACTCTGTGATTCTACGATTCTGTGATTCTTCTAAAGGAAGAAATGTGCCAAGAGTGAATGGTTGCCTATAATGATGATGATGTGCAAGAATGTTTTAAATAATCTATAACTAATAAAATAATATTTACTATTTTAATGAGTTGTATGAGGTTGATGGGATGAACACAGTTTTGGGGTATTTGGTGGAATATTAAATAAAATATATGCACATTAATAATGATAATACTTTATTTATACCCCGCCACCATCTCCCCAAAGGGACTCGGATGTTGGGCCAAGCCCAACAACACATCAGTAAAAACAACAAAGCAATAAGCAACCAAAACAATACAATTAATATAACTTAGATATAAACAATAACACGCAGCGATTTAATAACTTATGGCCAGGCCAGATGTAATAGTTAATTTTTTTAAAATAAACACTGGGCATGAACAGAGGTAGGATGTATCTAGTAGGAGGGTTTAAAAGAAATGTAGGGAGAGCAACCCAACGGGTAGTTAAAGTGCTTCTGAGGACATTTTGCAGGGAATTTTGCACATCTGCACACATTTTGCACATCTGCACACTACACTCAACACACTAATGTGTTGTGGCACACAGTTTGGAAAAACCCTCCTCTGCATCATAGAAATAAGACACTTGGACACTACTTTAACTGCCATGGCCCAGTATGATAGAATCATGTCAGTTGTAGCTTGGTGAGGCAGCAGCATGACTTGGCAGAGAAGGCCATGTAAAACTCCCATGATTCCATAACACTGAACCATGGCAGTTAAAGTAGTGTGCATGATTTCTACAGTGCAGAGGCACCCACAGAATTACAGAGTTGGAAGATTCCCAAGGGCCATCCAGTCCAATCCCCTGCCATGCAGGAAAACACGATCCATGCAGTCCTGACAGATTACCATCCAGTCTCTGATTTAAAACCTCTAGAAAAAGAGACTTTACTATGCTCTTATGAATTGTTTTATCATGTAACTGAATGTCAATAATTTTGTTAGTTTTCTTGTTAGCAAGCAAGTTAGAAAACCTGATGATGGCAAGATCTTAAATTCCAGGTTTTAGTCCTAACCTTAAAGAACTAAGAGCATTATCTCCAAGAAACAGCACCTTG